GAGCGGGGCAGTTGGGGGTGATGGAGTGAAAAGGGGGGTGAGGGAGAGGAGCAAGATGGGCTGCACGGGGGAGATGCTGGTGAGATGAAGCAAAAGGCGATTGCCCCCGCATCTGCCACAGCCACCAAGGCAGCTGTCTGTTCTCAAATCCAGCTGTGATTTTTCCATCATGAGACCCATGCATCCATATAAACTTTTCTATCGCTGTATGCATCCATCTATCCACTTCTGTCACCATTTCCATCCATCTGTCCATCCATCCATCCATCCACCCACCCCAAGACGTCGTCACCTTCTCCCAAGCACCTGCCACCTCCTCCATGTCCCAGCTGCGTTGGGCAGAGGCAGGGAGCTGTGCTGAGGTTCTGGGCTCTCCCATGTCCCCCAGGCTCGGGGACATAGTCCCTTGTCCCCTTCTTCGCCAGCAGCCACGGGCTGCTCTCCCAGCCGAGCCAGGGGTGATGGGCAGAGCCCCAGCCCCGCTGCCCCGTGTCCCCCTGGGGACTTGCTCTCCCCGGTGCTCTGTGGGGGGGGTGACAGCCAGTGTCACAAACTGTTTACCCAAGTTCTCGACTAAAACTCCGATCGGTGCGATTTACAGCATCGGGTCTAATTTATGGAGGCCGGTCCTCCGCAGCGTGATAAAACATTGGAGCAATAATACACTTCAGGATGGACTCCAAGACACTTAAACTGTTTAATGTGCTGCCTTTCTGCTCATAAATCTATTTACACGCTGTCCCCAGCCCTGGAGGGAGCAGACACATGCACACAAGCTGGGATGAATAATGCATGGAGCTGCCCTCCGGCCCCGGCTTGCCTCCCGCTCGCATCCCGCGCGCCGCTCGGAGCCCCGCGCAATTTCTTACCGAGTTATTTTGTGTTTGTGCCGGAGCTTCGTTTCCGAGGGAGCTCTCAGTTACCTGCTGAGATTGGGGAGTATGATTACGGTGTCAGGGCTATAAACCTGTTACATAAATCAAAGCGTACATAGCGGGATGCGCTGTCTGTTACTGTAAATAATTTAACGTGAAGGAGGGCTGGGGAGCTGCTTCTCCCCGGGCTGCCTGCGGCGCGGTGCTGGTTGCTCTGGTGTGTGTTACGTGGAGGGGAAACGTCCTCCTGGAGCTGGTGGGCAGGGCTGTGAAGGTGCCAGGGCCACCCATGAAGGATGGTGGGAGATGTCACTCTCATCCCCTTCTGCAGTGACACAGGGTGACTGCCCGTGCTCAGGGACGAGGAGGACCTCGTCACTCAAGGTAGCACAGAAATAGTCATAGAATCACAGGATGGTTTGGGTTGGAAGGGATGTTAAAGCCCATCCATTCCCACCCCCTGCCATGGGCAGGGACACCTCCCACTAGCCCAGGTTGCCCAAAGCCTCATCCAGCCTGGCCTTGAACCCCTCCAGGGCTGGGGCGTGATCCCCCCTCCCTGCCTGCATTGTGGCCTCGGGGACAGCGTTCATGTTGGGGGACATGCAAGGAGTGGAAGGGCCACCTCTGCCACCAGCCGTGCTCCATGGGAGATGCTCAACCTCATGCTGAGCTCAGTGAGGCTGAGCCTTGGGGACCCTGGTCACCCACAGCCAGACCCCGGACTGGCCAACATGGGGTCCTACCAGCTTGGTGGGGCTCCTGAGGACCATGGAGAAGATGTGTCCCCTTGATCCCACGCTTGGGGCTGTGCCAAGGGGGGAACTCCTGGCCGCAGAAGCGGAGCCTTGGCTGGGAGCCCAGGCAGAGCTCAGTCTCTTGCTTCCCGATGCCTTGCTCCGAATCCGGGAAGTTTCTCCGAACAAGTGTGCACTTCATTGGAAAGCTAATCTGCAGTCACTCCATCACGAGGACAGGCATCAGCTCTGGGATTTTTTTTGTTGTTGTAGTTTCAACCTCCCCCGATTGCAAAGCGAGTGGTCCCCAGAAGAAGGTGCTGGGGGCATTTGTTAGCGAAGGTAATGCAAGCAGCAGCCCATCATATTTATTGTGATAAATGGCACAATATCCAGAGCGCTCCGTAGCTGGAGGATTCGCCCAGGAGCTCATCTTTATTCACACGCCGCCCCGCCGGAGATGAGATTGTCTTTCCAGACGTGCTGAGCTGGTATCTCTGATACAAAGATGAGGAACAAACCCTCCTGCGCTGGTCTGCCCTCCCCTGACCGGGAGGCAGGAGCCCAGGTCCCAGCCTCTGCCTCCTCCTCTGGCCCTGGACACCATGGGCACGTCCCGGGGGGCTCCTGCAGCCGAAACGTGGAGCTCTTGGAGAAGTCAAGCCCTGCTCCTGGGCTCGGGATTACAAAGTTCCTGCAGATGGATGACCAAAGGTGCCCAAAGATAAAGTGAGGAGAGAGACAGCGATGCTATCGCCTCTGCTGTCAGCTACCCTGCAGGAGGGACTCAACCCCTTATCAGCCACCAGAGAATCCACGTGGGAGAGCAGCTTCTTGGAAATAAGCTTTGCTGTGGTGTTGGGATGCTCGGCACATCTGAAAGCGCGACTGTGCTGCTGGCTGAGCAAAGGGGTTTTATTTTTCCCCAGCAGCAGACAACTCGGATGCGGTTCCTGATGGTGAAGGGGGTTGGAAAGGGGCCATGGGGCCACTGCGGATGAGGGGCTGGAGGGTCCCCTGCCTGGTTGTCCCTTGCTGGGAAGGAGAAGGTGCTGCTGACTGATGGCCGAAGCCGAAACACAGGCGATGCTGCAGTGGCATCCTCTTAGCTTGTTAATTGGCTCCAATCAGTTGGTAATAAGTGGCCCCCGCAGGACGTATTCGTTTTATAGCAAATTTAACTAATGGCATTTGCATAAATGGGAATTAAAAGAGAAAGAGAGAGGAGATGAATGTGAGGATGCAGATGGACTCTGGGAAGTGTTTCCTGGGGACAGCGGGAGGGATGGGGACGAGGCAGCGGTGGGTCCCTGTGCGTGGGCACGCGGCTGTTCTGCGCTCACTGCCTATGCCCTCTGGGCTGGGTGGAGGAGATTTTGGGGCAAATGTCCAGGATGAGCAGTTTACAGCCTCCATGGATGCTTCTAGCTCAGTGTGGTAACGGGGTAGGACTCTGTGTGGGGGCCAAAGGAGCTGAAGCACCAAACGAAGGTTCCTGCAGGTGCTGGCAGAGGACCTGGGTCGGGGGAAATACCTGGGACAGACGTGGTGTGGGGGGGGGTCCACATCCCTGCTCCTGGGACCGCCTTTAACCTGGTTCGTGCCGGGTGAAATTCTGCTCCTCTGGCACTTCCCATCCTCCGCGCAGCCTCCTGCCAGGATCTCTGGTGTGTCTGCAGGAGCGTTGCAATCCTCCATCTTCTCTTCTCCCCCAGGTCTCCAGCAGCTGTGACTACGTCTTCGTCAGCGGGAAGGAGTCGCGGGGCTCCATGAGCGCCCGGGTCACCTTCACCTACGAGCACCTCTCTGCCCCGCTGGAGAGGACGGTGGGGGTACCCAAGCTGCCGCTGCACATCGAGCTCTCGGACGCCCGGCTGAGCCAAGTGAAGGGCTGGAGGGTGCCCATCCTGCCGGACAGGAGGTGGGTGCTTCGCGGCCAGCGCCTGGGGGCTGTCCAGCCTGCAGAAGGCAAAGGGAAGGTGGTGGTGAGGGTCTGATTGCCTTGTGCAGCTACTTAATGAGGGGGTTTTAAAGATGGTGGAGCCAGAGGCATCTCAGGGGTCAGCAGTGACAAGGTGGGAGATCACGGACACAGGCTGCATGTTGGCATGGAAGGAGGAAAGTTTCACTATGAGGTTGGTCAAACGCTGGAACCGGTAGGGAACTTCTATCCTTGCAATGGTCAAAACTCCAAAGTTAGCCTTGCTTTGAGGTCTGGAGGCCTCCAGGTGTCCATCCCAACCTGAGAATCTGTATCAGCTGCTCAGGGGCCAGAGATGCTGGTGACCCCGACTCGCCGAGTGCTGCTAAAGCCCTTGGAGACCTCATGGGCAACAGGCATCGTTCTGGCCAAGAGCCACCAGGTTTCTCCCTGTGTTCCTCCCTGCCTGGCCACCCCTCTCCTTTCCTTGGGGGGCTGAAGAGCCATGGCAGGGGGGAGCTTGGTGGCACTGCCTACTCTGTGCCCTGTCCCGCAGGTCGGTGCGGGACAGCGAGCACGAGGAGGAGGAAGAGGAGCGGAAGCAGAGCCGGGGCTGTGCCCTGCAGTACCAGCACGCCACGCTGCAGGTCTTCACCCAGTTCCACACCACGGCGGCGGAGGGCACGGGGCAAGTGGTCACCATGCTGGGACCCGACTGGCTGGTGGAGGTCACCGACCTGGTCAGCGACTTCATGCGCGTGGATGACCCGCGGGTGGCCCACATGGTGGACAGCTTCACGTTGGCCGGGCGGGAGCCGG